GGGCACAGGTGGCGGCGTCGGTGACTTTTGGCTTCGGCAGGCGGTCTGTGCATGGCGAGGAACTCCAGATGATCAATGAACGCAACCGTGGACAACCCTGCGCAACTGCGAGGAAAGCCGCATCTGTCAGATTTGCACATTCGTCCACATTCAATTCTTCTATTCGGGCGCACCTTTGCGCCATCGCTTGTATGGCAACATCACCAATGCCACTATCTTGGGCGTCGAGGCTCTCCAGGAGAGGACAGGCTTGACTAACAATGTGCAGTGCGCCATCATTGATGTCGTTGCCCCCAGGGTATAATCGCAACAATTGAGGGCAAGCTCGTGCCATTGCTTTGACAGCATAATGTAAGCTCCTTCCATCGAAGAGAGCGCCTTCCACTCTGAATTCAATCAGATTAGGGCAAGCCTTGGCTAGCAGCGCCAACTTCGTAGTTGTGGGAGCATGAATCTTACCCTCTTCTGACTCATGATTGAAACTCCAGCTGCGCACTGTGCTCGGACTGTCTTTCATAATTCTGTCACAAGCAAAGCAAAGTTCATCCTCGTCCACGCCATTGACGGTGACTACATCTGCACAATGAATTTCTATGAGCTCCCAGAGGGCATCCGACATCTGATTCTTGTGAGCAGCGATTATCTGTGCCAGCCGGTGCTCGCGACGCCGAGGCTCGGTAGTCGGCTTCTTTATTTGATGCGGGAGGCGTCCGAAGCACAACGCATCTTTCAATAGCTTTTCCACCGCAGGCTCCTGCTGCCCGATGTCGTCCCACAACTTGGACCCGCACACGATGTCTCTGCTAACCTCGGGGTAATAGCCGAGCTCTTTAGCTGCCTGTATAGGAGCAGCGCTTTTTGCGCGCAGTGCTGCGGGGTCTACTTCTGGAAGCAAATGCTCAGGGCCACTGGCCTCGGCGACGAGCTGCTCGTCGTCAGCAGGCTGAGAAGCGCCGCCATGGGCCCGCAATTCACGCAGCACGTCTTTGGGGATGCTGTCCCGGTGGGCCGAGAAACGTTTAGCCAAGTTGTTTTCGGCCCGCTCTTCTTCGGATGTTCCTTTGTTTTGCTTTGGTATCCGGCCGAGCTCCCGAATCGCATTCACGACCTCTTGCACGGCGCGCGACTCTGAGGACAAAGCGCCGTCAAGGGCCCACAATTCCTGCAAAACGTCTTTGGGGATGCTGTCGCAATGGTCCGAGAAACGTCTGGCCAACTTGTTTTCGGCCCGTCTTGTTCGGACGTTCCATTCTTTCGCTTCGGTATCCGGCCGAACTGCTTCACGTCCTCGACGAGCGTTTGCAGAGGACCGCTCAATGCAGCACGCTGAGGAGCACCGCTGTTCAATGGAGGAGGCTGAGGGGCACCGCTGTTCAATGCAGCAGGCTGAGGATCACCGCTGTTCAATGCAGCAGGCTGAGGAGCAACGCCGCTAGACTGAGAACGACCAGCATGTCCTGGCATTAAGGTGCGCAGTAGGCGCTGCGCAGTTCCTTGGAAAGGAAATCTTCGAAAGCAGGGCTCTAGCCAAGAAGGCTTCGGGGATGATGATGATGATGATGATGATGATGATGATGATGAGGATAGTAGCAGCAGCAGCACCAGTAGCAGCAGCAAGTGCCTGCGTCTGTGACTGGTCGTACAGGGAGCCGCAGAGGGGGCCGCACAGGGAGCCGCACAGGGGGCCAGTCACAGGCACAAGGCACAGGCGACCAGTCACGTATATGTATATGTGTACGCGCATGTACATGTACATGTATATGTGTTCAGTCTGCCTTCAGCCTCGGCCTCAGCCTCAGCCTTCCTCAGCCTCAGCCTTCCTCAGCATCAGCCTCAGCCTCAGCCTGCCTCAGCATCGGCCTGCCTCAGCGTCTGCCTCAGCCTGCCTCAGCCTGCGCCTCAGCCTCAGCCTCAGCCTGCCTCAGCCTCAGCCTGCCTCAGCCTCAGCCTCAGCCTGCCTCAGCCTCAGCCTGCCTCAGCCTCAGCCTCAGCCTGCCTCAGACTCAGCCACAGCCTGCTTCAGCCTGGCTCAGCCTCAGTCTGCCTTCAGCCTCGGCCTCAGCCAGCCTGCCTCAGCCTCAGCCTTCGCCTCAGCTCAGCCTCAGCCTCGGCCTCAGCCTGCCTCAACCTCAGCCTGCCTCAGCCTCAGCCTGCCTCAGCCTCAGCCTGCCTCAGCCTCAGCCTCAGCCTGTCTCAGCCTCAGCCTCAGCCTCAGCCTCAGCCTCAACATTCAGAATGTGGCCCGGGAATGGAATTCTGGGAACTCGAAGAGCACGAAGTGGCTTACAATTGGCTCCGGCAATCAAAATGTGGCCCGGGAATGGAATTCTTGGAACTCGAAGAGCACCTACAGTTGGCTCCGGGCATTCAAAATGTTGCCCGGGAATTAAATTCTGGGAACTCGAAGAACACGAAGTGGCTTACAGTTGGCTCCAGGCATTCAAAATGTGGCCCGGGAATGGGGTTCTGGGAACTCGAAGAGCACGAAGTGGCCTACAGTTGGCTCCGGGCATTCAAAATGTGGCCCGGGAATGGAGTCCTGGGGACTCGAAGAGCACGAATGGGCCTACAGTTGGCTCTGGGCATTCAAAATGTGGCCCGGGAATGGAGTTCTGGGGACTCGAAGACCACGAAGTGTGTAACTGTTTGCTTCAAACGAACCCGGCCCTCGTCGGGTTCCGCCCGATCGGCTGCTCCCCGGATCCTGTCCGGGCCCTCCTGGGGAGTCGAGATGCTCTCTTTTGACCCCACTAGAAGCCTATCAGTCTTCGCTGTTAGGTAAAAACCCAACCGTCAGGCCTTGCAGGCCTCTTCCAGCACGTGGCCCAACGCGCCGTACATGTGGCCCAGCTGGCACTCGGCGCTGACGACGCCGCTGGATGCACCAGGCTCCATCACCATGCTCAGGAGGCTGGTCTGAATCACCTTTGGGCTGCGCGCCTCTTTCATGTCCCTCGCACATGGTGTCAAATGTCCCACCCCAGTCCTAGCAGGCCACATTCAGCAAGTGGCGACGTAACCTCCAGATGCCGAAGCTGGTCGGGGGAGCCCCCGCCCTGACGAGTTCCAGTCTATCCACGTCGCGCTGGCAACTGCATCCCGGTCGCCAGGAGCTTCCCCGCATGCGGGTGCTTGCCCGCCAGGATCCTGTCCCGCTTCTTTCTCTTGGCGTCGTCTGTGCTGATCGCGCCCCGCTGGGCTAGCGGGCCTGGGCAGGCCACTCCTAGCCCCGCTCTCCGTCTCGCTGAGCGTGCGCCACGCACCGCGCGCGCCACGTGCGGCCCATGCACTTCCACTCGGTGTTCCCGTTCTCGAGGAACGCCCTCTGCTGCTGGATCGTCTGCGCTGGTCATCGGCGGCTGCCGCTGCTGCTGCTGCTGCGGTGGATGCCACCGCGATGGTCACGCTTGCCTCCAACGAACTGGCCGAGCCCGTCGCCCTGCTCCCAATCGATCTCCACAACGGCACCTGGCACTCGGACCCCCACAGCTTTTTCTTCATCCGATGTGTCGCCGCCCTTGGTCCACATCTCATGAATACCGCCCAACCGTTCAGCATCCCGACGTGGTGCCTGGTGAGCGCTATCTGCGGCTTGGCCGCTTTGCGTACTGGTCGTCCACATTCTCGCTTCGGCACGTCTGGCCACTCTCCCGCCACCTGCTGATGCCACCACCCTATGTTTTGCAGCGCCCAGCGCACTCGACAAGCAAGGTCCTGCATCGCCTGGTGCTTCCCGAAATGGGCGTCCAGCTCAGCCCCCGCCGTGGCTAACAAGTCCACCTCGGCGTTGCCCTTTGCGATCTTGTGCTTGTCGCCCTCCAGCTGCTCGACCCTGGACCTGGATCTGTGCGCTTTGACGCGGCAGACCTCGCTGACATTCAAGTCCACGTCGTTGATATTGCACCAGATTCGCTCCCAGATGTCCGCATGCGGCCTCTTCCAGCTTACGCGCCATCTTTCGCCCTTACGCGAGCCCGCCACGACCCCCTGGTGATCCGCGTAGATCTTGCCGTCCCCCAACTTATGCTCCAACGCCTTGTAGAAGGCCCACATCTCCGCTCTTTTAACTTGCCTATGGACTGAGAGCGTGGACGGTAGAGGCCCCCACATCTGGCATTTCGGCTTGCCCTCCTCGTCCACCGACACTGCTGCCCATCCAGTCTGCGCCCAATCACTGTAGCTCAGCTCAAGGCCATCGCACGCGACGTCCCCCGTGAAATGGCCCTCGCCTCCCTCCACCGCCTGGCACATGTACTGGCCCTCGTCGATCCCGATGACTTTTGGTCCGCCTCTGGGTGCCCCACCAGCCCTCTCGTCCAGAGCAAGTTGTCCTCCTGCTGCTCCGCCGCCGTCTGCCACTGCGGCCGCGCCTTCAATCGCCGCCCCCGCAAGACTGTGCACATATATAGTACCTGTGATGTGGTGTGCCTTCCGCCAAGTCACGAGGCCATGCATCTGTCCGTCGGCGCGATGTTGCACTGGCTCAGCTTGCTCATTGTCCAGCTCCCGCCCACGAAATCTTCGCTGCATTCTTGGCGTGCTTGGGGAAATCGCGCGCCATCAGCTGCGCCACCGCAGGCGCCGCTATCGGCGCAGGCCGGAAGCTCGCGCACTCCTCCGCCTTGGCCCACTCCTCCCACAGCTGCTGCTGCGCGTCCTCTCGCAGCAGCGCCGCCGCGTCCATGGGGCGCACTTCCCGACCGTCCAGGGTGTAGCCTGTCTTGGTGATGACCGTGCGCCAAGCTGGCCATGACCACTGCGCGCGCCTTAAGGACATGATAACTGCTCCTGCTGGCCCCCGCACGTTAGGCCACGCCGGCTCAATCCCGACCTCTTGCTGCTGTCGCCTCCGCGCCTTCACCGTCATGGACCCCGTGCTTTCCTACTGCTGGCTCACCTCCTTGGACTGCGCCGTTTGCCAGACCTCCCTCGCTTAGCGGATGATGGGCGCCTCCGTGACATAAGCGCGGGGTCCTCACCTGCCAGCGCCAGCTGCAGCGTCAGGCTCTTGGCTCGCCGCCCCCCAGGTAGTGCTCGTCATGCTTCGCGTCGCAACTGCGCTGCCGAAGCTGATGATCTGACACCCCAAGGCACTTGCGCCCGTACAGCACTGAAGACCAGTGCAGTCACTCTCGCCATTTTGCGCCCTCCGCCATTCAAGTTCGCCAGCCTCCTGCTCCTGCTCAACGCGCCCTTATGCCGCTTCCCACTCATCGCCTTCGCCGCCGTGCCGGGCGCGATGAGGTCCACGCCGAGGCACGGGCAGGCTCTCCCTAATGGTAGCCCTCTGCGCACCGTGTCCTTCGCCACCGTCCTGCGCAGCCACCTCGCGCTCGCCAGCGCCGCTCCTTCGCCTTGGCTACCCGCCGAGAACTTGAGGCCCAGCTTGTTGAATGTTGAAACCTGCGAAGCACGCGTCGATGGTGTCGCCGAACTCCCGCACGATGCACTGCTGCTGCTGTCGAAGACGCACACATCCACATGCATCCGCCACTTTGCGCGCAACCTCTCCACCACCAAGCCGTCAACCGTCGACTGGATGACCGTCTTCAAGAAGCACGCCGAGAACTTGCTGCCAGCTATGATCACGGCCACCGTGCTGGTCTCGCTCGACACTGAGCCCCCCACTGTGGGCCTCCTCGCCATCGCAAAATACGCTCACACCACCGCTAGCGCTCCCGCGTTGAAGTTCAGCCGCTTGCCCGCCTCCCACAACACGTGCAAACTCATCTTGTCGAAGGCCTTGACCAAGTCCAGCACTGGGGTGATCGTGGCCTCCAGCTTCTCACTCTCGTCGTCGGGATCGTCCATCTCGTGGCTGAGTAGCACATCCCACGCCGCGTCCTCTGCTACCTTTCCGCGGCTAGTGCAGTCCCGGCTCCTCTGGTTCTCCCTCGCCCACGTGATCATGCACGGCTCCCTCGTGATTTCCCGCGCGCGGATGGTGGTCGGCAGCGACCCAGTCACCCTGTCGGCGGTGAAGGTCTTCGGGATGGTGAAGAAGAGGACCGTGGCCATGTGGGCCGGCCAGATCAACGTACACTCCACCACCCTGAGGATGTCCAGCAGTCTGCTGTAGGCATCGTCGCACGCGCCCTGCAGCATGGAAGGCCGCCATCGATCCACTCCAATCCCCGTGCGTCTCCTGAAGGTGCGCGCCACCTCCTTCAGCCCGTTGGCATCCTCCTCATTGAAACCTTCGAGCTCCTGCCTGGGCCCCTGCCCCCGTGGCCTCGGCTCCTCCTGCAACTTCTCGCCCTCCCTCCAGGCGACCTTCCACTCCCCCAATGGTTACTCCGCCGCCTCCAAGGGGTCTGAGGCCTTCTCCATGGTGTCCGTGCGCCTGGGCCTCCACGCTGTTGCCGCCTTTTTGAGTGTGTAGACCTCCTGCCGCTCTTGCCGCCGCTATCTCCAGATTGTCGGCCCACTTCGCCTTCCTCTCTCGCAGCAGCCTCTAGTCCACCGCCTTCATCTTGCACTCCGCCTCCTGCACCCAGCTCTGGAAACTCGCCCCCTTACTCCCTCCTCGCAGCTGCCCAGCTGCTATCATGTCGCGCCGCGCCTGCCAGATACCCTGCCTCTCAAAGCCGATGTAATTCGCGCGCCTGGGCCTGACCTGGAACAACGTCTCATGGGTTCTCATCTCGTGGCGCCTCTTATGCACCATGCCCTGCCCCTTTGCTTTCCTCCACCCCAGGCGCGCGCCTTGCAGTCCATGTAGGGGCCGTGTTAACCACCGCCACCGCGTTCACTCTCTCGCTGCCGCGGGACCGTTCTCGCCGCCGACGTTGAGCGGCTTGATCCTCCACTTCGGCTCCTCTGCTCGCCCCGCGCGCGGGACGTCTTCCGCCCGCTGCATACCTCTGACCTGGAAAGCCTCCTGCTCCAGCACCCGCATATACTTGGTCCACGCCTTATTAGCCTGCCCCTGCGTCTTGAACTCCCGCGCGCGCTCGTAGCTCGGGGGCGCGGGCGCGCGCCCTATCTGCGCCTCTAGTAACGCCTTAAGCTTGTTTCAGCACCCTGACCACTCGCTCCACGACCATGAGCTTGATCGTCAGCCCTACTGGCTTGCGCGGTGTCGCCGCACACGATTCCTGTATTTCGATGTGCTGTTCCTGCGCCTGCACCGAGTCCGCCGCCAGGAAGTAGTCGATCTCGCCATTCCCATATCGGCATGCCTGCAGGTTCCGCAGGCCGCGTTGGGCGCCACCACCGTAGCCTCGGCTACCTTCGCGCTCTCGACCTCCGCCATCTCCTCAGGCGCCACCTGGAAGTCACCCCCAATGATCCACGGCACCCCCAGGCTCTGCAGCTTCTCAATCCCGCGCGCGATGAGCTGTGTCTTCCTGCACGTCATGCCTTCCGCCGTCCACAAGTACACGGTGGCGAGCACCGCGCCCTTCCCGATCGACAGCCACGCCGCCGCAGCCCTACCTGGGCCAGCTTTCGGCGAGATGTCCCAGTCGTCCTCGCCGCACAAGTGGGCCATGCCCACTCTCCTCGGCACCGCAAGCGCCGCCCCCGCCGACGCGCCTGCCTCTCCGTTGGGCCCCGTCGCGGCCGCCGCCCCAGCGCCACCCATGTGGTGCCCCTGAACCTGCATGCTCTGCGTGACCACTGCAAGCTTGTCCGTGGCCAGGTGGTGCCCCTGCACTGCGTGGCACTGCAGCCCCTGCGTGTCCTCCATGCTATTGTCCTTGATCGTGCCCCAGCCCGAGCCACTATACGTCCACGGCGTGGCCGTGTCGTGCTCGGGCTTCTTGACGCGCTTGTCAGGAACGTTTCTGCTTCTTGGCTGCGTGCTCAACCAGGCTGGCGCACACCTCCAACCATCGCATCCGCTGTTCTGGTGTAGCTTCAGCTGGTACTCCCCCTGCTTTGAGCCATTCCTGTTCTTCAGCAGTAAGCTTTGGTCCATCATCTTGAGTTGCTGTTCCTGGTGGTGATGCTGCGCCTCGCCCTGCACCACGAGCATGAGGTGGACCACTAGGACTCTCAACATCCATGTCCATGTCCTCCTGATTTGCATCGGCCAGGACCTTGCCCAGCAACGTGAAGACCTGCTCGTGCTCCTGCTCGCTAATGCCGCTGCCGTCGACCGTGCCCTCGAACTGGTTTTGCATGGCAGTGGGGAAGGCGGGTGACTCCCTGACCCCGGAGTCCTGCTCCTTGAGCTCCTGCTCCTTGGCCCTGGCGATATGAAGCTGCTCCTGCTTCTTCTCGAGCCTGGCTTTGGCCTCCCCCAGCTGCCTCTCGTGCCAGCTGACGTCGGTGGCCAAGGGCTCGGTCTCCTTCTCGAACTTCTCCCTGGCGTAGCGCGCCTGCGAGAGCTGCGCCGCATGCGGCTTCGTGCTGTCCTTCTCCGCCTGCGCGGTCTGGTACTTCTCGAGGGCCACCTGGCACTCTTCAGAGTCTTCGCCCCGCTCCTGCTTGCACGACTGAGCCCACTTGAAGAAACGCGCCAAGTCGACCTGCGGCTCCTCGTTCGCGGGCTTCTCCTGGTTGCCACCCTTGAGCGCCCTGAACTCCTCGCGCATGGCGTCCAGCTTCTTCTGCATGGCGGCCTCCCGCTTGGTCGGGCCCAGCAGCGCCTGCTTGAAGGTGACCTGGTGCCGCGGCGCCTCGGGCCCGCAGCCACGGCAGTGCCTCCGCGTCGCAAAATTGTCCGCGGCCCAGCAGCTGCAGGACCACTTGCTGGTGCCACTGCGCCCCGCCCGCCAAAGCCAGCCCCCTGCCGGCATGGCGCGCCCGACTGCCGAGCGGTAAACCGCCCTGCTCGCCGCGGATCAGCGGCATCCCTTTGCCCACAAGGGCGCTGCCCCCGCGCGTTGGACATCTTGAGCCAAGAGACCCCCAAGAGGCCCCAGGAAACTCTCCAAGGCACCCAAGACGCTCTTGGAGACGCCCGGGACTGCCAAGAGGCCCCCAAGACCCTCCAAGAGGCCCCCACTGGGCACTGGGGGACCCTCTCTCCGCGTGCTGCCCACTTCTCTGATCGAGACAATTCCTCTGGGCATCGTTCCTGCATGGGCTGGTGCGGTTACATTTTTGTCGCAACCGCAAGCGAAGGCGCGGGCGGCGAGTAACGGGGCGGGCGGGCCGCGCGCGAACCTAATTGCCTAACGCGCCGGCAAACAGAGCCAACGCGGCGCCCCAGATCACCGGAAGCGGAAGGGGGTGCGGGCTGCAGCTGCCAGGAACCACGTCCAGGAGCGCGCACATGCAATTAGCCAACCGAAGTCGGGGCGCAGCCAAAGTGGCGCGGGAAGGAGACCAGGGTGAAGCCAGGAGCGCCACCACGAAGGATCACAGAAACCGGCGAGGCCGGGGGAACTCACTGACCAGGAACGCGGGCATGGAAGTGGCGCCACCAAAGTCGCACACAACACTGACAAGTGGCCGCAGAGGGCGAGGACAAGACGCAGGATCAACCACGCGAATCCTCATGCACCCAGCCCCAGAAGGGGGCAGCTCGCTTGCAGCTGGCGCGGTTACTTTTTGGTTCGCGGCTCCAAGGCGAGAGACATGGAGCGAGCACAACGTCCGGGGCGCGGTGCGTAGATAATTGGCGCGAGATTGCCGCGGATTCCGGCGGACAACACACGCAGCGGCAAATGCACATGCCAGGGGCAAAATGCCCCTCGTTGAGACGCATTTCAGCGTCTGCTGGTGACCGGCCCAGACAGCCCGGCTGGTGGGGAAGCAAAAGGCGAAGCAACCGGCAACGGAACGGGGGGAGAAGTCGCCCTTGCGGCGCCAAGCTCCAGCCGAACCGCAATCGGAAGTGAGGCCAAGACGGACAGCAAGGCACTGTAATAAGCCGCGGGCAGACCGCGAGTCCGAGCGGCCACTGACCAGACGGAACCCACGTGTGTGCACACTGAGCCAGGCCGTCCGAGACCTCGGAAAAAAAGGGGTGAGCGCGAGCGAGAGCAACTAACTCAGACTCACTGCAGCTCCACGAGCATGCGCTGATGCGGCGAGGGTGGCCCGACTCACCAAGGCTCACTGAAGCTGAGGTGTGGCTGACCAGCGTCGGAGCGCCCGCCATCCAATAAGAGGTAGACCACTGGTGTGCGCTCGCGAGGCTGAGCAACCTCCAGCTGGTAGCCTGCGCGCTTACATCGTATCCGAATCACGCTGTTCGGGGGCACGACGATGCAATGTACTGACGAGGGCTGGTGGCTGTGGCTGCGTCGAGAAGAGCGAAGCGAACTCGAACCGCAGAAGGCTGAACCACTCAATGCAGGGCCGTTCACTTGACGAAGCCAATCACCATGCGCATGGCGGACAGCCGCGCCCACTCAACACCTGCCACGCTGCCCGTACAGAAGCCGAATACCTCCGACGCCCAGGCGAACCAATGGCTGGCAGCTGCAGAACTGCTGGGCCGCACCGTTCGCTGGCGGCGCGCTGACGGCAGGCCAAGACGTCCCTGTAGTAGAACCATGGCCGGGTCGGCGACGAAGGAAGGCGTTCCCAGGGCAGGTCTCAGGGCAGGGGGGGGCGCAGCCAAAAGCCGCTGAACACGAGTGTCCATGGGGGGTGTCCGAGCACCATCCAGCAAGAGGCAGACCACTGGTGTGCGCACACGAGGCTGAGCAACCTCCAGCTGGTAGCCTGCGCGCTTACATCGCGTCTGAATCGCGCTGTTCGGGGGCGCAACGATGCAATTGTTCTGACGAGGGCTAGGGCTGTAGCTGCGCCGAGAAGAGCGAAACGAGCTCGAACCGCAGAAGGCTGAACCACTCGATGCGGGGCCGTTCACTTGGACGCAGCCAATCACCACGCGCATGGCGGACAGCCACGCCTACTCAACACCTGCCACGCTGCCCGTGCAGAAGCCAAATACCTCCGACGCCAGGGCAGACCGATGGCTGGCAGCTGCGACGCTGCTGGGCCGCACCGTTCGCCGGCGGCGTGCTGGCGCCAGGCCAAGACATCCTTGAAATAGAACCATGGCCGGGTCGGCGACGAAGGAGGACCGCTGTTCCCTCGGCAGGTCTCAGGGCGGACGCGCTTCTGCGGCCGGCGCAATGCGATGGCGCCGTCGGGCAGGGGGGGAAGGGGCGCAGCCAAAAGCCGCTGAGACGAGTGCCAATGAGGGGGGGGGGGGGGAAGGAGGGGGCGCAGCCAAAAGCCGCTGGGCGCAGATAAGAAGTGGCCGGCGGCCGCACCGCCGCCAGTGACAAATTAATCCAAGGACGGGGGCGTCTTGGCGGGGGGGTGCCGCGCCACTGCGTGACGAACGCGCCTGCCCCCGTGAAGGGCGTGCAGGGCGCGGCTAGCGTGGCCCCCGTGCCTCGCACAGGGCACCCATGCACTGTACCTCTTGTCCGCGGGGGGCGAGGGTGCGCGCGGATAGGGAAGGGGGTGGCGCAGGGAGTTGGTTATTTCAGCCACCGACCACCGCCGTCCAAAGTGGCTGTGAAAGAGGTGGAGCGCAGGAGGTGGGTTATTTCAGCCACCAATCACTGCCGTCCAAAGTGGCTGCCGTGGACAGCGGGGGCGCGGGGCCCGGGGGGGTGGCTGCATGCGACCCCAGAGCCCTCGCTAGCAGTGGCCTCCGTCGTGGGATGCTGTGGCCGCGGCCCCGCGCGGCAGACGAAGACGCCCCAGTCCGCCGCAGGGGAGGAGAAGCCTGGCAAGGTCCACGAATCCAACGTGGGCTGTCTATCTGAACAGCGATATGGTATTGGTGCCCCTCCGCCCCACCGGAGGTAGCACGGAGCATTGCGGCCAAGGCTGGGCGCTGCAGGTGAAACTGTCCTAGAGGGGGGGGGGGTGCGGCGAATGCCGGGCGGAGTGGAGCCGAGGCGGGGTGGGAGATGGCGCGAGCTGCACACAGCGGGCTGCGCGATAGGTGATGCAGGAGGTGGGCCGTAGCGATCGCCGGTTCGCTGACTGCCACCGAGAGAGGCGTCGCCACGGCTGGAGCCCGCGGGGAGATGGCCAGGGCCAAAGTTGCGGGCAATCCTGAGGTGAGGGCGCCAACGACGGCGGGAGATGCCGCCGCGCTGGGGGGCGGGCCACCCCAGAGCGGGCCCCTCCTTCCGTCCCCGTCATCTAGGTCAGGAGCCCCAACCTCGTGGGCGCTTGTCAGCGTATGGGTCATCTCCTCTGGGAGAGTAGCGCTTGCCCTTCGCCTTCCAGTCTGTCTCGGCCCACGACGTACCTTGGTGCCCCCACGAGCCCCATGACTGCATCCACGCCACGAAGAGGCTGAGCTAGATGCACCAGTCCACTGATCTGGCGGGACCGCATGTGCCGCCCCCTTGCCCGCTGTGGTCCAAGGGGAGGGGCGGCCGCTGCCGTCGGTCCCGCGATAGGCGTGGGGTCTGGCGTCGCGTTGCAGGAGCCTGCCGTATCGGTCCTTGACACTTGACCAGACGACGCGGAGCTTGAACTCCCTGCCCATTTTGTAGGCATCAAATTCTGCTTTGCTCCATGCCTGGAGGAACTCGCTGCACTGCTGTACGGAGTTTAGCTTGGGATCAAGCTTGGCACAGTAGCTCCCTTGCCTCGCGGCTGCCCTCCTGACCCAGGCGCCCCAAACTCCGTTAAACGCACCTCCCAGCGTCTTCTGCAGACGTGAGATATTGTCTTGTGCCGGCTCGTCCCTTGAGACGTCCGCTTCGTCAGCCGGGCACATATAAATGGGGACGCCTCCCATGGGGTCGTCAGGATGTTCTGCGGGTGGCTGCGCTCCCCGTATGTCATTCCAGGAGGCCTGGGTGGCGCGCGGCTGCGGAGGGACGTCGCTTGGGGGTGGGGTGGCCGGGGTTTCCCTGACCCTGTTGTTATCTTTCGCGGGTGGTCGCCGGCTACCATCGCCATCCGCATGTCTCACAGACCTGTTGTCCCGGGCGTCGTTGAGGCTCCGGATCCGGTCATCCCTACTACGAAGGTCGCCTGGGGCGTTCCGATCTCGGGCTGCTTCCCTGGAAACGGCCTGTACATATGGGGGCCAGGCTTCTGCGCGGGTCCTGTCGGGTGGTGTCTCCCAGAGCCGGAGGGGGCCAGGGATCCCTTTGTCACTTAGGTCATCGTCGGGGTGAGTGGGGCTGACTTGCGAGCTTGAGTCCACGGAGATGTCATGCGGACTTGAGTGCGCGTAGTTAGACGTCGGACTCAGACTTCCTGCCCCCCTCGTCTCCCCAGTCAACCCCTTCCTCGTCGCCTTCGCCCTTGCAAGGCCCCAGTGGGGTTTGTCTCCCTGCCTGGGGCACGGGCAGCCTCGGCAAGCTGCGGGGGTGGACGGTGCGGGTCGGGGATACTCCTTGCGCTTCCACTCGGCGGTCCACAGCGGGGAGTTCCTTGCTGCTGGTGGTCCTGTTGAGCCAGTTGGCTGCTGGTGACTCATCCCCGCCTGGGCTGCTAGCTGCCGTCTCGCGGGGCAGGGCGGCGAGGTGGGTGATGGCGCCCCTGGCCAGCGCGGCGCCTTCCAACCTAGTCAGGAGTCAGGAAGGCCAGGAGGATGTGAAACGGCTGTCGGAAGGGGCAGCGTCTAGAATTTCTGCATTCCCCTCCTGGCCCCGCTAACTGAACAGAAGGAGGGAGAGCCATATTTTGGCGACGACCGCGAGCACAGCCACAGGCTCTCCGCCCCGTCCAAAAGACGGGGGAACAGAGTTGTGGGGTGGGAGGTGGAAAAAGCGCTGCTTAACCTAAACAGCTGCGGGAGCAGGGAGGAGGAGGGGCGACGGAGCACTACGGCCAGGGGGGAATAAAACCGTTCAGG